GGCTGGGTTTTAGCCACTAGGCCAGATTCCCTGCCCTGCTGCCCCCCGGGGGGGCCCAGTCCTTCCCGGGACCTTGGGCCCCAGCAGAGCCGTGGCCAGGGCTTTCTGCGTGGCTCCAGCAGGCAGGGCCCACGGGCTCCTAGTGTGGCTCCATTCAGCTGGGGGTGGGCAGGTTAGTAGCCAGGCCACCGGGGTCTCTGGAGCCCTGATGCTGGCTGGAGACTCTAGACTGAGGCCAGGAGCCTGGGCCGCATTTTGCACCAGCTCTGGGCATGTTTCTCACCTCCCCCTTGCCTGGGGGCTCTGGGGGGGCTGCTGAGCCTTTGAAGCCCAACCCCCTGTGTGAAAGTGGGGGGTCCAAGCAGGCACTGAGAGGATGCCTGCCCCTGGCAGGCTGGGCACAGGCCCAGGGCTGGGGCATGGCTGGTGGAGGGGCACCAGAGGAGGATTGTGTGGGGGGGGTATATTGAGGGAGGGCACCGGCTCCCTGCCCCCCACTAGCCCCACTACTGTGGTTTGTTCCTCTCGCGCATTTCGAGACGGGGGGCCCCCTCTGGGCCCTCCCTCCCCCCGCCCCCGCTGCTCTAAAAATGGATCCACCGAAAGCAGAAGTCGTTAGTTAAAGGGCTTTGTCGGCCCCTCCCTTGCTGGCCCTATGGAGTGGGGGCAGGGGGACTCCTGGCTGGGCTGCCCCAGAGCAGCAGCTCCCTGGTCTGGCCCTAGCAGGTGAACCGGGGGGCCAGGTAGTCTTGTGCTGCGGGTGAACAGGGCTGGGATCGAGGGGAAGGCTGGCCTGACGGCAGGGCACACGTGCTAAGAGACGGGGGTGGCACCAGCTGGGGTGGAGGAGTCTTGGCAGAGCTAACCATTGGCCCCCACTGCCCACCCACAGATGGGCTAGAACCCAGGCATCCTGCCCCCGGTTCCCTCCTCTGACCGCTCCCGGCCCCTCCCACAGCCGGGCTAGAACCCAGGCATCCTGCCCCCGGTTCCCTCCTCTGACCGCTCCCGGCCCCTCCCACAGCCGGGCTAGAACCCAGGCATCCTGCCCCCGGTTCCCTCCTCTGACCGCTCCCGGCCCCTCCCACAGCCGGGCTAGAACCCAGGCATCCTGCCCCCGGTTCCCTCCTCTGACCGCTCCCGGCCCCTCCCACAGCCGGGCTAGAACCCAGGCATCCTGCCCCCGGTTCCCTCCTCTGACCGCTCCCGGCCCCTCCCACAGCCGGGCTAGAACCCAGGCATCCTGCCCCCGGTTCCCTCCTCTGACCGCTCCCGTCCCGTCCCACAGCCGGGCTAGAACCCAGGCATCCTGCCCCCGGTTCCCTCCTCTGACCGCTCCCGGCCCCTCCCACAGCCGGGCTAGAACCCAGGCATCCTGCCCCCGGTTCCCTCCTCTGACCGCTCCCGGCCCCTCCCACAGCCGGGCTAGAACCCAGGCATCCTGCCCCCGGTTCCCTCCTCTGACCGCTCCCGGCCCCTCCCACAGCCGGGCTAGAACCCAGGCATCCTGCCCCCGGTTCCCTCCTCTGACCGCTCCCGGCCCCTCCCACAGCCGGGCTAGAACCCAGGCATCCTGCCCCCGGTTCCCTCCTCTGACCGCTCCCGGCCCCTCCCACAGCCGGGCTAGAACCCAGGCATCCTGCCCCCGGTTCCCTCCTCTGACCGCTCCCGGCCCCTCCCACAGCCGGGCTAGAACCCAGGCATCCTGCCCCCGGTTCCCTCCTCTGACCGCTCCCGGCCCCTCCCACAGCCGGGCTAGAACCCAGGCATCCTGCCCCCGGTTCCCTCCTCTGACCGCTCCCGGCCCCTCCCACAGCCGGGCTAGAACCCAGGCATCCTGCCCCCGGTTCCCTCCTCTGACCGCTCCCGGCCCCTCCCACAGCCGGGCTAGAACCCAGGCATCCTGCCCCCGGTTCCCTCCTCTGACCGCTCCCGGCCCCTCCCACAGCCGGGCTAGAACCCAGGCATCCTGCCCCCGGTTCCCTCCTCTGACCGCTCCCGGCCCCTCCCCGTGCTGGGCTCCCACTCAGTCCAGCCTGGTTACTGCTGCCCCTTGTCTTGCCTTCTGCTGGCCGCTTGTCAACCAGCATCCTGAAAGGCCACATTTGCAGGGGGCAGGGCTGGACTGGCAGAGGCTGGGGGGTGGGAGTGAGGGGCACTGGCAGGGCTGGGGGGGCAGGGGCTGTGGGGCGGGAGTGAAGGGCACCAGCAGAGTGAGGGGCGGGGTCCCAGGGCTGTGACATTCGGAGAACAAGGGCAGCTGGGCGCCGCGGCCAGGG